AGGAATGCCTCCGGCAATTTTCCTCCGCTCCTCTCTAATCCGCTGCCCCTCTTCCTTCTTCCACGCCGTAACCCATGCCTCTCGTCGTTCTCACCGTCATATCTCCCGTCCTTCTATTCGGCATAACTTCAAACACCTCTCCTTAACAAACCCTTCCACCATGTCCTTTCCGATTTCCACCACTTCCGCTGCCAACAGTACCCTCAAATTATCCAAAAAGGCTCGACGTGAGACGCCGGAGAACCTCCTTCGCCACCACCTTGATATGTGCTCGAAGCAAGGAGACGTCTCCGAGGCCCTCCGCCTTTACGACTCCGCCCGCGCCGGTTCCATCCCGCTATCCCTTCACCACTATAATGTCCTGCTCTACTTGTGCTCCCATCTCTCCGCCACCGCTTCCGAGGCTGACCGTGCTTTTGAAATCTTCCCTCAGATGTCAGTCGACGGCGTCGTCCCAAACGAGGCCACCTTTACTACCCTCGTCCGCCTTGCCGCCGCCCGTGGCGATCCCGACCTTGCCTTTCAGTTCATTAAGACCATGTCCGCCGCAGGCATTACCCCACGCCTCCGCAGCTACGGCCCCGCACTTTTCGGCTTCTGCGAGAAAGGCGACGTTGAGAAGGCCCAGGAGCTCGAGGCTCACATGGTCGAGGCAAAGGTTGCTGCCGAGGAACTGGAGCTGGCAGCTCTCTTCCGTCTCAATTCCGAGCTAGGGAGGGGAGAAGATGTCTACCGGCTGTTGCACAGGATGAGGGCCGAATTGAGGATGGTGTCCGAGACGACAGCTGAGTTGATTGAAGGTTGGTTTAATTCAGTGCAGGCGGCAGGATTTGGACTTCACGAGTGGGACGTGGAGATGGTCAATAAAGGGGTGTTAACAGGAGGAGGAGGGTGGCATGGACAGGGGTGGTTAGGTAAAGGGCAATGGAGTGTCGGGAGGAGTGAAATGGATAAGGAAGGTGTGTGCAGGCGGTGTAGGGATAGGATGATGTCTATAGATATAGATCCTGTGGAGACTGAGGTGTTCGCAAGATCATTGGCCGAACTGGCTAGTCAAAAGGAGGCTAAGGCGGATTTTACAGGTTTCCAGGTTCGACTGATTGTGCATTTTTCACGTTATTTATTTTGGTTATTTATAATAGTAGTAGAGCACAATTACACTTCTGTTCGTTTGATTCATATGCACACATATGATTCTCATTTCCTGTTTGATTGAATGAAGGCTGAAGGATACCTTCGTTAAAATTCTAGTGGAAGCTGGATTAACATTACAAGTTAGCTTCTTTACCTTTCATTGTGTAGAAACTTCTTTTTTTTAATATTTTTTGTTTTAGGACTTGATGAAATAGAATGCATATGTGGAACTTTGCCACTTTATATTTGTTCTCTTTTGGATTTCTTATTATTACTCTTTTTAAATATAGGAGATTACCTGTTGGTGTTTTAGTTACAGTGCCTCTGAATTTTATGCTTATCGAAGTACCTTTAATTGTTCTACTTGATTTCTTGTTTGTTGCAGTTTCTCATCTTGCACTAATCCGTGAGGTAAACAGATCATTTTATTTGCAATATGAATACCACTTTCTTGATGGTAATAGAAAATGTTGATCTATTGGGTTTGCACTTCAATTTGTTTTTGGAAACGGGTTAAATACCCTATCAATCCAATGCAATGTTCTTACTCGGACAACTTGGTTGAAGTTTTGATGCAAGATCGATTCCAATTCCCTTTTTGTAGCTAAATCAGTAACCAGACTTGCTTCCTGCTGCAATAAACATCTGAATTTCACTGATCTCATTACGAAAACAGAGTTTCTTTATATCATTGCAATGCTTATCTTCCTGAAATATCCCACAATAAAATTGGAGAAGTTGCATTACAACATGTTTTAGTCTTATCTCTTATTAAGGGCAGATTATGATCATCATTAGCCTTCTTCCAACAGTTTGAGTTGGCAGATGAAGAGCACTGTAGACCATTACAGTTTGCTGAGAGTTTCTAGCTCTTTTATTTTATTTTAATTAGGAAATTGCTATGATGAATTGAGGAAGTTAAGTTCAAGTTATTTGCTCACTGTTTACAGTCGTGGCTTGACCGGTATGGGCCATTTGATGCAGTCATAGATGGTGCAAATGTTGGCCTAAATAATCAACACAAATTCAGTTTTTTCCAGGTAATGTTATTTCAAATGAGCTGTTATATAGTTTCAATGCAGTGAAAAGCTGGCTAGAATTTGATATTTGGTTCTTTTTTATGTTTTAGGGTTTAGGGTAACATACATTTTGTGTAACATATGCAGCTAAATTATATTGTTAATGAACTCCGTCAGATGAGTTCATCAGATAAGTTGCCTCTTGTTGTCCTACATTGCAGCCGGGTAAGAGGTGGACAAGCTGATAATTCAAACAATAAAAGGTTGTTGGAGAGCTGGAGAAGGAGTGGCTCACTCTATGTCACTCCATCTGGATCTAACGATGACTGGTAACTAGTTCGTTCAGTTTTTTATTTATATTTTTTTATGTTTTGCTTCTTTGAGGATCTATGTTCCTTGGATTAAGCTTAAGTTGATGTTGTTTTTCAGAAAAAGTTCTCATATATTCTCTTGTAGCTTCTTCATCGTTGTTGTGGCCACGCATATTAAAGTAATTATCAGAATCTTGAATATTTGGATATGAATTGAAGAAAATAGAGGACCACAAATCTGATTTTCTTTAGCTTCATCATCATTAGTCTTATGCTAACTATTTTGGGTTGGCTTAGTGGCTTCTCATTTTTTTTTTGTTTGTTATGTGCTGTTTATGGTGTTAATCATTTTTAAGAACAAATTTTATCGATGTTACTTTTCAACCGTCCCTCCTTTTCCAAAATTTCCTCAAATCTTATTTGCTTGTCTAATGCATGCTTTTTTTGCCACTTTGTGTTACATGCTCAAGCCATCAAATTCCCTATTCGCTTACATTATTTTCAATTGCTGCCTTTTTAACTTTTCTTTAATAAATTTATTTCTTAATTTCTCTTTTTATGTTTTGACACACATCCATCTTAACATTCTCATGTCTATCATGCTCAACTTTGTAGCAATAGTTTTTTTCAATAGTTAATACCTGGATCCTTAGCTTTATGACATCCACTTATCAAATGATATATTTTTTTGGATATTTATCCATTTTAAACTCCTAAAATTATTTTTACAAATTATGTATAATAAACTCGAGAAACTTAAATCTATCATTCTTAGGCAGGAATTTATCTCTTTCTAGTATTAATTTATAGGGCCATTTACATACATATGACATAATTTTGTATTATTTACATATCTAACATCAAAACTTTTCATATTTGCATGCATAGTACATAAATCTTTTCCTACATAGGTTCGTTATACAAAAATATTATAAATGTCAATATAATTTCTCGATTTTTGCGTGTTATCCTTGCACATGAACCAGACTAATCTTCTCTATATTGTTCCAATTTTATCGGATGTCTCCGAAGAGTCTTATAAACGTCAATATCAAATTTTAGGTGTTAACTGTGTAAATACATTGGAATTATATAATATGTATCTAACTTTCTTTAATTTCTAATTATAAGTTTCTCATTCATTAAAATTATATGCCATATATTGGGAATTTATTCTATTGCTCTTAAGTTTTCTTTCTTTTGACATTTTCTCAATTACTGTAACTATTTCTATAGTTATCTCATCGATTAGAATTATTATTTGCAAACTATATTAATGCACATTTTTGTTTAATATTCTTTATAAGTGTCTTCATTATGGGTACAACAATGATTTGGAATCAATTTTGCTTCTTATTTTAAATTTGCTATAATTAGAAACTCTTTGGTCATTCCTTAATTGTTTTTTATTTTAATTTTTACTCTACTTACATATCTTCAATAACATAACATGTTTGCAGGCTTGCTTAGAATGTGGGTTACACCCAAATCTTATTAATTCAGAGAAAATTAGAAAGTCTAGAAAAGAGATGGGTAGAGGAAGCTGATATGATAAAATATGACTTACAATGCTACAATGACAACGTGAATGGGGAAAAGGAGTAAAAAAGGTAGAACATCTAACTTTCCTTGGGATTCATTATTTATAGATAGAGATCTAGGGTCTTGAGCTTTATAAAAAAGCTACAAAATAAGTAATACACATGTTAAAAAAGATTAAGTCATTTAGAAGTTTTTCTGCCTTGATACAAATTCGAATTGTGCGGTCTACTTATTGGAGGACCTGGCCTGGTTGGCTTAGAAAGACTGCTTTGATGTATATGGCTTCATTATGGAGCCATGGTGGATGCTTCGTTGTGATAGGTGTGTAAGCATGCCTTGTCGCTGCTGTGCAGATGCCTTTAATCTAGCAAGGCGAGTCTGTTTTTCTTCAGCCTGGCGAGTGATCTATCATCTTCAAACTCGACTCGCAAGTCCATGTTGATTTGAATCCGTGATCTAGTATTGGGCCCTACTTGAAGTGCTTATCTCTTTTATCACCCTTTAAGATGAGTCTATCTCAATTGAGAGTACATTGTAATACTAATTCGACAAAAAATGTACACTAAAATCGTTTTTAAAGTATACCTAATTTTTTATACTTCAAAAAATCTTCAAAATTATTTTTATGTTTCCATCGGCTCAATGCAATTTCTCAGGAAAGCAAAAAGAACAAAAGGAAAAGATGGTAAAACACAAACCATCAAACCATCAAACCACCAACAGGTAAATCGAGAAGATGGTGAAACACAAACCATCAAATCATCAAAAGGAAAAGATTGTAGAACGCAAACCATCAAACCTCCACCATAGAGAACAAAGGAGGAGAGATATATTTTGAGATAGGTAGTGAGAGGCGACGACACAAAAAATGGATGGAGGGGAGAAGGTAGCTGGGATTCTGCTCTAAAGCCACACATAGATAAAAAATATGGTGAGCAGGGGAGGAGGGATATTGGAGGGGACACGAGGAGGGATTTTGGAAATTGTAGAGGGGCAACGATGAGATTTTGTAGTTGAAACGGAGCTCTAACCGTGGAATGAACCCTCCCTAGTCATTTCGGCTTTTACCATTCTACAGCAGTACTCTGCCTAAAGCACGTGAGAAGCAGCCTCCTGAACACTTTGGTCGGCGTTTTGGGCTGATAAGCAGCGAAAATGGCACCCCAAATACACCCTAAACTTTGAATCCCATATCCAATGTGAGGGTTATCACTAGATTAAAGCCTAATTATATTGTACTGAAAGCAAGAAGCTTCTAATATGAAAGTTGAAAATTTATTTGTTTAAAAAAACCAAAAACTTTGTTCTTATATATTTTTTTCTAGATAAGTCCTTTTTTAAAAGTCTTCATGTAGCTGTGTTAATGCAAATGTATGGTAAGTTAAAATTAATTTGAATTTAAAATTTAGGTTTTGCAACTTAGCCACTGAAGATAGGCAACTTGATTATATGTTTTTTAATGCCAATTCAACCATAAAGTTTTTTTGTGATTTGCTCTTAAATGATATGATAATTTTTTGATATATTTAACATCTAAACCTTTTTGTAGAACTTATAAGATAATTTTATAATAAATGAACGTAACCGTAGATAAAAATGCATATCAAATGCAAACTTGCATAAGTGAAAACCTTCAAATAAAAATTCTACAAAATAAACTAAAAAAATAATAGAGAAAAAATAAGTATTGTACGATCATGGAACCGCTAGTTTGATAAACTTGAATGCTAGAACAAAGGCTTTAGATCGCATCGAAACTTTGAATTGTTCTCTCGATCGGTCGAAAATCATGTTGAAGCCTTGGATCTCTCTCTGGATCGTGCTCTGGATAATGTCGAAGCTCTGGATCGTGCCTCAGATCACGCCAAAGCTCTGGATTTCATCGAAGACTCCCTTGTTCCTATCAGGGCTGCTTGACGACTCTCTTGCTTCAATCAATGACGCTCGACATTGACTTGCTTGTTGCTTGCTTCGATCATAGAAGATGAGATCAATGGCGAGGCGATGGCGAGAATTATTCTATGAGAACTGCTTGAGAATTCCGTTGGTTTGATTTTGTGTTTCTTCTCGGCTTATGCCTTCATGCTGCTCGAATTTAAGCTCTTGTGTCTGTGTTGAGTGGTGTCCAAACCATGTCTATGTAAACGGGGAGTTCATACACAATTAATAACATGTCTGTCATGTATCGGCCCATGTCAAAGCCTTGTCCATGTCTGTGTCCGACATGGGTACGACACCTGTTTTGAGGTGTTTGTGTTTCAGAGTTTTTCAATTATGTCATTTTATTGTGGAGCGTTGACACAAGAGTTTTGATGAATTAATTTTTTTTTGAGAAAAATAACCCAAAATATTATTGAAATACTCTCAACCATTATTACTCCTTAATATTTCAATAGTTTTTTGAAATTGTATTTGTCCCATGATATTAAAGCTTTTGAAAATTATTTTTAATATTAGATATTTCTTCATTAAACAAACCATACTTAACCTAATGTGTTCATCAGTGAAAATCACAAACTATTTTTTCCTAGAATATATAAGATTTTTTTTAAGTAACTCAAATATTGCTATGAATCATAGTAAATTGTATAATTAGTTTATATATTTGTGGAGAAAAATATGAACGGTGATTTTTAACAAACTGACAAACTTCAAATTGAAACAAAGATGAATTTTTATTTTGAAATAATATGGGAAACAAGTATTTTAGATACTAAAAATTAGGATTACCTAATCTATAATGCTATAACATAATATTATTGTATTTCTATTATTGTATTTAGAAATAAAACAAAATTTAAACCAGTATTTTGGCATTCTATTTGAGTCAAAAATCATTGTCAAAATAATTGAGTTTATCATTTCAAAACAATAAAGTTTTCAAAATTTTTCGCTTGTTCTCTCTCTCATTTCGACCTCTTTTTCATTGCTCAGGTGGTCTGGGTTTTGATATTGTCACGGACAAGTTTAGATTGAGATAAATCACTTCAATAGTTATCTGGATGCTCTTGTAATAGTTTTGTCAGTCTATTTCTTTGGTATTGCACGAAAATACTGCAATGATTCTCCTGCGTGCTCCTTATTTTCCAGTCTTTTGGAGTCCTAACTTATATGAGGGTTATTGAAACTATTTGTAGTGACTTAAATCTTCTATATGTGTAGGTACTGGTTGTATGCAGCAGTCAACTGCAAATGTTTGGTTGTTACCAATGATGAAATGAGAGATCACTTGTTTGCTCTACTTGGAAATAGCTTCTTTCCTAGATGGAAAGAAAAACACCAGGTTTACCATTACCATCATTTTTCAGTTTGCTAAATTTATTTCAGTAAATTACATTTTATTATGAATAGGTTCAATGGATTTCCTGCACTGCTTTCCATGATTTATATAAGATTCAATCGTCTCACTTGTTCTTAAATGTCTATTGGCTTAACATTGTAAACACTGTAAAATACTAGTGTTCTCTATGATGCTAGCTTTTTTTAGTGGAAATAAGGTAGTTGTTGGAGCTATTTTCCAAAATGTTAATTCAATGAAATAAAATTAAAACTTTAAGTGATGGTATCACAATCTTATGCTTCTGGCTCCTGGCTCCTGGCATGTGTACCATGCCAATACTTAACATGGGAGCCAAATTATTTGCACTCTGAAACACCTAAAGCAAATGGAGAAGAGTGAAATAATATATAGGAAAGTGAGAAGAGTGAAGGAGAAGTCTTTTTTTATTTTGTTTTTTTTATGTTATTCAAAGCTTAAACCTCCACTTTGGAGGTCAAAGGCAGTCCACTCAGCAACGGGGTTGATGGTATATATTAGAAAAAAAGGAAGATGAGAGTAATGGGGAAGGGTCTTCTCTGTACTTGTTTCAAATTGTTAAGATGCTGCTTTTGCTTGTTTTGTAAATAAAATATATGGTTTCAAGGGATAGATTTGTCAAAATTTGGCATATAGTTGATGGATGGGTACCTAACCAAGCTTAAAAATGGGAAACAGCTGCTCCATTTAATAAATTCTGATTTTGATTTGTTCTTATATAAATAAACAATAGCTAGAGAATGCAGCTGGGAACAAATCTGAGAATAAGCCTGGCCTATTTGTGAGTGAACACTTAGCGCAGAATGATTGCCTAGGTAAGACGAAGATTGCGGCTTGATCTCCATTCCAATAACAAATTTTAGGAAGCCGGGCATTGCTAGCTAAAGCGGGCAAGCTCATGGATTTTTGTCTTTTCTCCAGTTTTCATTATTAATAACTATTGAAATGATAAAGCTATTAGCTGCTCAACTGACAGATACTATTGATCGCTTACCATTCAATTGATGTAAGCATGTGATTGAATGTCAACAAGATTTTTTGGTAGTCTGTATGGCATGTAGGTATATGGTTGTATAGAAAAATTTTTAGGTATTAATTTGTTTTGGTGTGTCGTCCATCAGAAATATTGAAAGATTTTTATGCAAATGATTAAATACGTCATTTGAAGTTTTATTTATCATCCTGAGAGGAAAAAATATTATCTTGAAGTGAATTCAATCATTCAAATAATAAAAATCTTTAAAATTTATGGATATATATTAACCAGAGATTTTCCCTTATCTTACGGGTATAATATAGAGTTTATTTTATTATGGAATACTGATTTTTCCTAAAGGGTAAACCTCCTAACTTATTATATCTCGAGAGTTGTGAACCTTGAGAAAACACTCAATTAAAATACTAGCTTTTCTTGTTTATGATTTCAAAAGTCTGGATGCTAGTGTTGTTGTTTCAGGAGTTTCAAACAGGATATATTCAAATTTGAAGAGATTTTTCTAGAGTTTGAAGGCGAAAGGGCATGAAGTGCTAAGATATTGAGAAACCTGTTGAGCCCTCCAACTTATTCTAATTTAGATAGAATTGGATATGATTCAAGAGAGAGGATTGACTGAAAATGATGTTAAAAATTGACGTCTAAAATGTGTGGTAGACCATTCAAGGCACAATGCGCATATTGGTGTTGATCAAGACGATCAACTAAGTACCAAAATATTAGTATCAATACTCTAAATTTGAATTCAAATTTAGATTTGAATTTGAATTTAGAGATTAGATTTGAAATTCTATTTGATTAATTTAGAGATTATAAAATTGAGATTTTGATTGAATTGGAAATTCAATATTTGTGAGCTTTAGAGTTTTTATCAATAGAATCTACTAAGATCTCATGCTAGGGATTTAGGCAAATGTTGCCTAAGAAGTTTGACTTGAGATTTCTAGAAATGAGAACCGTAGGGCGTTGTCGGCCGTTTTATTGTTCAACTTTCGTAGTTTGAAAAGGTGATGATTTTGTGATTTTGAAAATAATTTAAATATAAATATAACTTTTTGAAAGAACATTTTAATTTTTAAAATAAGTGAGATCAAACGAGTCTCACATTTTTAAATAGTTTAGATGATTTAATATAACACTACAAGCAATACATTTATCCCGAAGAATAAATATATTACTTGTGATAGGAATTTAATCATCTAGACTAAACAATTTGTGACATCCGTTTTGATCTGCGAAATATTTTATAAAAAGGCCAACAAGTTCCCCTATCTAACATAAAAAAATTAAATAGGGTTTATTTTATCTGGGTTCCTGGTTCCCTATAGAGGCAAACCCCTATAATTAATTATATCTTAAATGATCGAAATCACTTAAGAAAACTCTCGATTAAGATCAGGTGGTTTTGCTTTCAAGATTTCAAAGTTTAGGTTTTCACGATTGGACATAAGAAAGTCAAATGGGAATG